GTAATATTTGGGGTCACAAGTTTTTGCCATGAATATTTTGTGGGTCAGAAGATAAAAAGGTTGGGAACCACTGGTCTTGATAATAGTACCTTTTATAGGTCTGATAGTTATATTGCCAAAATCTCACCAAGAACTACCTGACAGGGTCATTAAGAGATCAAAACTATAAAATACTAAAAAAAAAACACATGATGAGAACTCCAGACAATGTGATCTTATCTGTAAAAAGTTACCTGCAACATCAAAGCAACAAATTGYCTTCTGTGCCTGAGTTTACCAATGATAAAACATAACAGTAACACMTCCAAATTTGTCCCTTTATCCATACAAAATGATCCTGTATTCTTCTGCAAACAGTGGAAAATGGTAAACATATTTTTAAGAGGCTAAAGGGGATGTGCCATATCTGTGTGATCAACGATTCTCTGCGCAAACAGGAAACACTGACTGGACTGAGAACGACGCTCACTTTCTCCTCTTTTATTGTGTTGTTAGTCCCGTGTAGACTGCAATGTCACAAGTCGTGTTTAAATTGAAAAAAGGGGAGGGGGGTAGGTAGGAAAAGCGAGAACCAGCCTACATCATTTCGCGATTCCACCAGAGTCGACTGGAATAACAATTCAGAGGCAACCCAAAAAAAAACCCTTGGATAAATAATAAAAAGAGTAAAACCTCCTCACACATGCACCGTACTCACGTGTCCCTTTCTTCTCACTAGCTCGGCGTGTAGCTTTAACACATGCTAAATCCAAATGAGGGTGAACTTGAAAGCTGTTTTGGTTTTAATTCAGTCGAAGACAGCTGAAATGTTTGCGCTGCTCCAGAAATGTTCACCGAGGACGGATGAAGCGAGTACCCTCTCAAACAGTCAACATATTTTTAGAAATGCTAATCCCAGTTGTATCCATCACCCCAACCTGTAGAGTAATGTATGGTCGTCTTTACATTCAGAAAACCCAAGTCAAACGACTGGCAGTGCTAGGCTGTGTTGAGCTGATTAGCCAACACGGCATGCTAGCTAACAGGCAGAGGAGCTAACTTGTCCTGCTAACACTGCACAATGAGAAACGAACAGCTGGTTAGAAGTGAGGCTTGGGTTTAAAAAACAAGGATACAAATAAAACATCCCCGCGTGTAGCTTAAGCCTCGCTGACATTTTAGCTAATCAGTTAAAAGCACCCCGGGCTGCAAGGAGAGCTAGCTACAATGCTAATGCTACGTGTGGCTGTGAAGTGACAGAGGAGCTCTCCTCCTCCTCCTCCTCCTGCTGCTGCTGCTGCATCACCTCCTTTTCTCCTTTCACTCTGTGAAAACCCGAGCCAGTCGGGGATCCCGGTCCGCCTTTCGGAAACAAGTCGCTCTGGAAGGAGATGTCCTCATTTCCACGAAGGTTTCTTCGCGGCTGCTCCGGCTCACAGCCACATACCAGCGTCACGGCTCGGCGAATGTTGGCCGCTCTGGTGGACSGCAAAGACGGACTGATGAGCTGCTGCTGCCGCTCCGAGATCCCAACTGGTCAGCAGCCTGCTGCTCACACAGCCAGGGTCCGTCTGCTGATGTGTGGTGTGGCTCATGCGCTCATACACAACATGGAAGTTACTATTAATAATACAAATAATCATTTAACGACTTAACTGAGTTGTTTCTTTAAGGTGGGGGTCTGCAAACTTTATAAATGCATGAGCAATTTGTAACATATAAACTTTTATTTTTACTGTTTCTCATTATGAAGTAGAACTAAATTTTCTTGACACCCCCACCCCCAGCAAAAAAAGCCCCAAAAAAAGCAAAAGCATACAACCCTGTAAGCAAAAGGTGTGAATCAGGGCCCCAAGGATAACCAACACAAAGAGGGAAAAAACAAAAACAAGGGGACTTTGAGCCCCACCTGCATTCACTACATACACGACATGACACCTGAGAACCACAGCATCCAAACCAATAAGTCAGGTGATGGGGCACACCCTCAATGAACAATAGATCTAATCAAGCCTATTGTTAGGCGATGGCCCTCTTTTGCATGTGACTAACCTGTTTGTCCACCATGTGGAGGCAGTGCTTTTAAGGCTGAGTTCACCTGAAACTCATCAGACTGAGGAAGTCTCTTGGATGAGAGACGAAACGTTTCACTAAAGAAGAACTCATCGGACCTACTTATTTTTTCTTTTTGAAAAAAAAAAGCAGTTTACAAATTTTCCTTCCATCTTGTTTAGCCTATCTGTAGTCAGATCTCCTTATCCCCAGCAACACTTTCCAGTTCCTCCCGGGGGTCCCCAATTCCCAGGTCAGACAAGGTACACAATTCCTACAGCATGTTCTGGGTCTGCCCAGAAAATCTCCATGAGGAGGCGCCCAGTAGGTATCCTAATCAGATTCCTGAACARGGTTGGGCATCGTTTGAATTTGAACGATTCCGGTTCCTCATTTGGATTCCGGTTCCCAATGATTCGCAATTTTRAATCTTTTCAGAGGCAGGGTCAAAAAAGTTTACATGGTTTAAATGTGGTAGCTAACCAGAGTTCTTTTAGATGAACCAATGTTATGAATTTATTTTTCACACAGGGGTACTCTTCAAAACTTGTCTATCTAACCAAATCATACACATATCCAGCCAGAGTATTTTGGATCTTGTTTTGAGACAATATACTAAGCAAGAGCAGAAAGTGTTTGATTATTAATCTAGTTAGCCTGGAAATGTTTTCCTCGTTTCAAGTCTTACCAAGCGCAATTGTCTTACTGCACTGGCAGATTATTTCACCTAATTTGACAATTTGAGTCTGAACACCAACTCAAASTGGTGTTCGGTGGCTCACCTAGGTGGCTCATGGGTTTTTTCCTTCRTTGGTGTTGGGTGGCTTCTGGCAGACTGGGTATTGAAACTAAGTATCGAAATTTAAAAGTACGAACGATTCCGGGAGAGTTGAAACATTAGTCCTGGCTCCAATCAATACTCGAGACTCGATGCCCAACCCTATTCCTGAACCACCTCAATTGATTCCTTCCACGAGAAGGAGCAGCAGCTCTACTCTGAGCTCCCCCAGATTATAAATCCCCTCATCCTATCTCCAAGGCTGAACCACCCTCATAAGGAAGCTCATTTCAGCCACTTGTATCCAGGATTGTTCTTTCTGTCATGATCCAAGTCTAATGACCACAGGTGAGGGTTGGAATRTAGACAGACCAGTATAATTGAGAGCTTTGTATTTCAACTCAACTCTTTCAATACGACCAACCAAAGCAACGCGCTGAAGAAGGCCTCGATGTGTCGGTCAATCTCCTCAGGAACAAGATGCCCACCAAAGGCAAAGTCTTCCCCTCACCTGGAGGGGGTAATCCTCATACTTCCTGTTGAGAACCATGTCCTCAGACTGAGGAGCTRATTCTAATCTTAGCTGCTTCAGGCTCCAGTGCACGCTGAAGGTCTTGGCCTGAAGACACCAACAGAACATGAAAATTAGTGTATCATTATGAAATCTTTCTAGTGTGGTAACTTTGTTACTGTGCAGTTTTTTCAGACCCACACATAGAATGATATAACAAAATTTTAATGCTTTTGGACTAAAATTATCTTGTAGCTTAAAAATGTTTAAAAATACATTTTTACACAATTGTTGATTTGTATAGTTCTGAATGATTCTTGGCGACTACCACATCAAGTTTTAGCTCAATATCTGTGAAATGAACTGAGCGGTAGCTATTTTTGTTTCAGCTAATGTTGATTAGCAGTGGTGGCCATCTTGAATTGGACTGACACCAGAAGTTAATCAGTTGCAGAATGCACATGCAGTGAAGTTTTGTTAAAATTGCTCCATTGGCTTAAAAGATATTAAGCAATATCTTCCCCTTGTAACAGAACAAGGGGAAAAAACTGWATTCTTTTCCCTTTTGGTGGTGGGGTGTAATACAAATACATACATGCATCTAAGTGTCAAACCAAAAATATCAGTCAGCTCTGACAAATGACCTCACATGACCTTATAAGACTCTGCCCACAATATTTCAAGGCTTTGCCAGAAACAAAAGAAAGAATTTTGTTGGATGCAAAGTTTGTGCATACACCCACAAGTGCAGGATGAGTCATCAACCTTTTTGTTTAATCAGCTTCCACAAAAAATAAAARCTCCAAAGGACAACTTTGAACTGGAAGACAACTTTGTTCTTCATAATTGGGTCAAAGAATTATTWATAAGTGACACACAGAGCAAAGGATGAATCGTATTTTAAGATTAGTACATCCAGTTTCCTTCCACGGGCCTTTAATGTTACAAAGTGAGAAAAAAAACATTAAACTGGGCCACAGGTGCACGTGAGAAATATCAAGATAAAAATGAAAACAATATCTCATCGAAAGGACATTTAGARGAAAAACAACTTTTCATAATGTTTGGTTTTAGCAAACCTTGATCCAAGAGTAACTTTTGTAATAATACCTACGATAATAGCTAATAATAACTTTAACTTTTAAATAACTTTAAAAACTAATAACTTTTGTAATAATAGCTAATAATACTCAGGTTCTATCTAGCTATAGAGCCTGAGTCTTAGGCTACGTTCACACTGCAGGCAAATCCGACCCAAATCCGATTTTTTTGACCCATCTGACTCATATCCGATTTTTTTATGACAGTCTGAACGAGACAAATCCGATTTTTTCAAATCCGACCCAGGCCGTTTCAGTATGTGGTTTTAAATCGGATACATATCCGATGTTTTCAAAGTGGGGTCCTGACCACAAATATATAAATTTAAGTAATGGCATCCTACCAAGAGAAAACAATTCCATTATTTTTATAGGCAAAAATACGCATTTATGT